TAGATCGAGAGGTGGTGAGNCCCAATCAGCATCAGAATATGCCCGCATATGATCCGTCTGAGAGGGTGATATGGTGATGCGATGGGTAGGTGTACCATGTAGATAGCGCAGAACATGCTTCATAGCTGTAACATGTGGCACACGAGGATCATGAAGAAATAGGCATAGTTGCTGCACGGCATATGTAATATCTGGGCGGGTGAAGGTGAGATACTGCAGTGCTCCCACAATGGAGAGATATAGAGAGGGACCTGGCGCTGGAGGACCGACCGTGGCCGAAAGCTTCCCTTGGGTGTCCACGGGTGTAGAGACTGGTTTGCAGGAGGTCATGCCGGCCCGTTCAAGTATATCATAGATGAACTGAGTCTGAGTGAGGAATAGGCCATGAGAGGTCCGCTGGACATTGATCCCGAGAAAAAAGTGAAGGTCGCCCATATCTGTCATAGCAAACTCCCCTTTTAGGCGTGCTGTGATCCGGTGAAGGAGGGCAGTAGATGATGCTGTGAGGACAATGTCATCAACATAAAGCAGGAGAAGAGCCATGTCCTGGCCGCGACTGTAGACAAACAAGGAGGTGTCGCTCTTACATCCACTGAAGCCAAGAGAGAGAACAAATCCTGTGAAACGTTGGTACTAGGATCGGGGTGCTTGTTTGAGTCCCTAAAGCGCCTTATTTAATATGCAAACATAATGTGGGCGAGCAGGGTCCTGGAATCCCGAAGGCTGAGCGGTGTAAACAGTGTCTGAGAGGTAGCCCTGCAAGAAAGCATTTTTGACGTCGAAGTGGTGGATCGGCAAACCTCTGGACACGGCAAGGCTCAGGACAATGTGTATAGTGGCCGGTTTGACAACCGGGTTGAAGGTCTCGTCGTAGTCGATGCCATGGCGTTGATTGAACCCACGAACAACCCATCGAGCTTTGTACCTGGACAGTTCACCTGTTGGGCCAAGTTTGTGGCGGAAAAGCCATTTACCGGAGATGACATTTTGGTCGGGGGAGGGGGGTACTAGATCCCGTGTATGATTAGCAATCAAAGCATTATATTCATCTAGCATAGCATTGTACCAGTTAGGATCTTTGAGAGCACTACGGTAGGTGGGTGGTATGGGGGAGATGGAAGCAACGGTGTTTAGGTTTAGGATTTGTTTGGGGCAAAAGATCC